CTTGTTTACCGAAAACGCTCTCATTTTCCACGATTTTTTTAAATAATAAATTTTCACCAAATATGAGATAGAACCAATAAAAAACCTAAAAAAAAAGAATTCTATGTCAAAAGTTTACGTAGTTTTATGCCCCATACAAATCATACATATGACCTTAGGCAGTCGGGTACACGAGGGACGTAGATTCTCTGTATTGGGTTTTATGAGCAGATGAGCACAAGAGGTACAGCCTAGTAGATCACCATTACCTCATCACCTGACAAGCAAGAAGGAAAACCAAGCTCATCTGTTTTTAATAATTAAATATTAAAATGCCAGTTGATGATGTTTCAAATTCAGGGGTAAAACAGAAAATATTCACAACTTCTAAACAATGGATAAAGAGTTTCCAGAATGGTTGCAAAGGAGTTTGAAGACAACCAGTAAGGCTCATTGTACAAGTTTTTTTGTGGACATCGCTCCGTGATGCAAATGCCTTTAATCCACTGCTGATCTTGCGACGGCGCTGATCTTTTTCTTCTACAGATTTTGCCCTTGAATCTACCTGATTCCATGACACTATCTACCGATTTCATCTTTTTCGGTTCGGCAACACTGGGACTGCCTTTCCCATTTGATTGCAGCAGATTGCTAAATTCGCACACGTAGTTCGTCAGCCGTGTTCCACCACCAAGTTTTTTACACTAAACATTAAAAACAAATCACAAAGTATCTTTAAAAACGATCTGCATGCACTCGTGAAGCTTCGGTAGCACCGTAAATTAAAATAATAAGGACAACTCCAATATTGCTGTAAGAGTGTGCCATTTGTTTTAGAATCGATGTATAAAGGTTTCGTTTACAAACGTGGCCAGCGCCTGGATTGTGTACTGATCCGCATCGTACGTGTTCACGTTTGACCTGATCGAGGTGCATGACCGGATCAGCTTTTGTTTAGGTTTGATTTTGCGGGAGCGTAACATCTCGGTAATCTCAATACTTTTGGTGGATATGTTACTAGAGAAAAAAACTGCTTATTTTCCAAGATATATGCGACGAGTAAAGGACAATCCCAATTCTGAGGACACTATGTATATCCAAGTTTTTTGCCGGGCAAATCAAAAACTTTTGAGTGAATCTTGTGTTTATCCTATTTTTGCGTCAGGGGTTAAAACGCACACAGAAAATTGTGTCCAACTTTTGAATTTCCCTTGAAATACAAAATCAAACCCCATACCTACTCGCTTACTTTATGTTGCACACCCGCCTCCTCCATAAATTTTAAACAGATGAATCGATTTTCATCAAACATATTTAAGAACAAACTCGATAGACGAGACTTTCCGTTAAAAAACGCATTCAAACTTATAACACCCCTCCTTTTTAGTCGGAAAATAAAAATGGTACTTGAAATCTTAAGATGGGTACTTCACATATTTTTCCTCATCAACTTTCATACTCCTTCATCCGTTGATTTTAGATATAATATTTTGTACATCACGTCTCAGTCATCATTCTAAACTTGATGAGTTCAGCTCATGATTTTTAACTTGCTAGAATAAGCGTTTTGTGTTTGTTATAAATAATAATGCAAAAGACGAGGCACATTGCTTATGGAGAACTGGTTTCGGCAAGTTGCCTCCACACTCAAATCAAAGTTTTTCCTTTATTTAAGCTGAACGAAAGTCACTAATAATAAATGATGAATTATAAACCCACAAAACGCGAACCCTTTTCACGAGCAGACCTGGTTCTGATTGACATAGGAATGACAGAATTTTCTGCCAGTGGCCATGAACAGTTCTGATAATGACTTTATTGGTACTTGCAATCGAATGTGCCAATTCTCAAATTGGTTTCGACTGGCATTTGGATTACTATAAATTGCTTGTGCTTTAAATATTGAACTGTTCAAGTTTTGCTTGAGGGTTTTCAGAGCATGAAAGTAAAACATATTTGCACTTCATTTCAAACCCATGACATACCAGAATCAGTACCAGCCTCTCGTAGTGGATCTAAAAATTCTGAAACAATGACTTCATAGTTATGAATAGAGTTCGTATGGTTATAAATTATAATTTTTTGACCTTGAATTAAACCACCGCCAAAAACATTTGATTTCCTTAAGGATGTAAATTTTTACCCAGAGAAATACGAATATAACGTATTGTCTTTTTCACGACTATCCGTTACGGTAGAATAACAGCTGATTATCTAGTAAAATTCCAAAATTCCCCATATCGACAAATGACACAATTCTGATGGATCCGTCAACGTCAGGTAGACAGAGCCGTATTCTGTTTTGCTTTTTTGTCCGCTACAAATTCAGTTCGTACTTGCTATAGACTATTTTATTTAGAAAAGTTCATTTGCATACAAAAAAAACGTACAAGCAAGTTTTTATAGATTTACACCCGATTTTTTATTGTCAACGTTACAGACTAATACAAAGATGTCACTTGATGATCAGCTGTTCACCTCAGTAGACGTCAAAACGTGATGATACTCGTGAAGTAGGGTTTACTGGTGAGTGATCTTAACCTCATTTACAGATACGTCATGAGTGGCATGTCTAGTATTTCAAAATAGCAATAGATATATGTATGTAAGATACCTTTGAGTATATACTTAGTACCTAATTACCAATTTGCTGAATTGCCATACATACAGGGTGTCCCAGAAGTCGACTTCAAGCCGAAACCGGGTGATAGGCAAAGTCATAACAGCTATCGGAAAAATATTTAAAAAAATTGTATATATGTGTTTTGAAAATTATAGGTCTTTGAAAATAAAATTGCCACTTATTTCCCAACCAAGTATTCCAAAGTAAAACTTTGCTCAACTTTAACTGGCTGTACTGGAAAAAAATGTACTACGAGAGTTTGGCAAGTAACCTTAAAAGTGGGCGCATTTAATAACGATTCCAAAATGGTATAACACTTAGAAGATTACTCGTTAACTTATGCACAATTTTTATTTGGAGAAAAACTGATGAAAATTTTTCAAAATTTCCTAATTAAACAGCGATTATGAAAACGCACAAGGACCGGCGTGTTCAAGCTCTTCTGCCCGGGATTATGAGCCCCGAGTTGCTTTTTGTCGCACAATGTTAGAAAGACACAGGGAAGATCCACGGTTTTTTGAAAAAATTTTATGGTCAGATGAGACCACATTTAAGAAAGATGGGTACATGAACATGCATAACTTACACGAGTGGCACGTAGCAAACCCACATTTGATGAGAGAAGATAAATCTCAATATCGCTTCAAGATAAACCATTGGACAGGAATTTTAAATGGTAAAATAATCGGTCCGTTTGAGTTCCCAGAGACTTTGACTGCTGAAGTTTATTTGGATTTTTTGAAAAATCATGTACAAAATTTATTGGTGGACGTGCCACTGAGTATTTACAGGGACATGTGCTTTCAGCATGATGGCTGCCCAGCGCACTATGCACTCTCAGTGAGAGAGTATCTCGATCAAAACTTTCCAGGCAGATGGATAAGGCGGTCTGGTACAATACCGTGGCCAGCCCGATCACCAGATTTGAATCCGTTAGATTTTTTTTACTGTTGTGCAAACAGTTATCCTTAAGGGTCCTTGTGCGTTTTCATAATCGCTGTTTAATTAGGAAATTTTGAAAAATGTTCATCAGTTTTTTTTTCAAATAAAAATTGTGCATAAGTTAACGAGTAATCTTCTAAGTGTTATACCATTTTGGAATCGTTATTAAATGCGCCAACTTTTAAGGTTACTTGCCAAACTCTCGTAGTACATTTTTTTCAGCCAGTTAAAGTTGAGCAAAGTTTTACTTTGGAATACTTGGTTGGGAAATAAGTGGCAATTTTTCCTGAACGAGAAAAGTTGGCAGTAAGGTTGAGACACCAGTTTGAAGATGCATTATTCATCATTACATTGTAAAAATAAAATCCAAAAAAAGTTAATATTTGTAGTAACAGGAGTTGACAGACTGCCGTAGGGTGTGAAATTTCTATATCTTTTTCAAAGACCTATAATTTTCAAAACACATACATAAAATTTTTTTAAATATTTTTCTAATAGCTGTTATGACTTTGCCTATCACCCGGTTTCGGCTTGACGTCGACTTCTGGGACACCCTGTATATTCAAAAAAGTGTTAGAGGATAAGATATATTCCGTTTATCCATAGCGCTACTTATAATAAAAAAATGGTCGCAGAAAACGTGGTTAGAAATTAGTGAACTGTCAAGTGTCGTTACATGCCCCGGTAATAATCTAGGCGTTATGAAAATAGTTACACATTATTCCAGAGTGAAATTTCATCTGCCATTACCAAGTCATTTCTAACCGTACCCCAGTAACACATCTACCCTACGTCATTTCCGTATTTCTCTTGAGTCTTTATAATTCATGAAGGTGAGATTCTAGAAGCTTAAACACTTAACAATGTTCAACATAAAGAAAGGTACATTTTTCATTAGGTTTGGTGAGAAATATCCTAAGCCCATTGCCCATAAACAATGTGCCTCGTTTTTTTTTTTGAATATTATGGTTTGTGAGAAAAACAGGTAGAACAATCGTATGGATAATAAAAACGATAGCATTTGAACATTGTTTTATTTAAGCCCGAATTTTGCAGATATTCTATTAGAGAGATGCTTCTTTTGCTGACACGCATCACTCATACAGTGAAATTGCCCAGATTCCATCGGCTGGGTCAAGCATAAAGCATACCAGACCTTAAAAATCCTTTCTTGGAAACAGCCATGTGATGTCTAGGAACAGATATAACAAAGCTGTTCGTTACGCCATATACCAGCATGATACCTATGGTAATGTTGCAGAGCAACGGCAGCCGAACTTTCTGGACGCTGACCCTGGAGATCGAATGGAACTTGTTAAAGAGCTGGCTTTCACCGCTGACATGCCAGGACAAAGTGGTTGTAACAATTCCCAATGTTAGGCAGATACGAGAGATGTCTGTCTTTTAAGTTTTGCATATGGAAGTCAAACAATACGGTAGGTAGTTTTAAATGACTTCATTGTTTTTCGAAGTATTCTCCACGAAGATTAATACACATCTGCATACGCTCGAACTAATTTTCGAAGCACTTATTCCACTCCTTTGCTGGCAGATCCAAAACGGAATTTTTGAATGCGTCAACTGCTTCTTCTGGTGACTGGAACCTTTGACCACGCAGTCTGTTTTTAATTTTCGGGAAAGTAAAGAAATCGTTAGGACTTAGATCGGGACTATATGGAGGGTGGTCCAATAATTCCACGTTACCTTCCGTTAAATACTGCCTTGTTTTTTGGGCTGTGTGCGAGCTTGCATTTTCTTGGTGGAGGATGATTCTTCTTTCGGGGTTGATTTTTCGAAGCTCGGTGATGACTTTTGGCAAACAAATGGTGGTATACCAATCCGCAGTAACAGTTCTTTGCTGATTAAGAGGAATTGTTGCAATATGACCCGCTTTTGACACAAATGTCGCGACCATCTTTTTCGAAACACTTCGAGAACGGATGACTTTTGTTGGCTTTTCTTCACCTTGGGACACTAAAACAGACGACTGTCGTTTATTTTCTGGTTCATAACAGTAAATCCATGATTCATCACCACTAACAATGCTATACACATTTTTTTGAGTTTCCGGAATTGAAACGGTCAAGCGTTTTTTGACACCAATTAACCCTGGCTGCTTTCTGCTCTTCAGTCAACAGGTGGGGTATCCAACGAGAAACTAATTTTCTCCTAATTCTACATGTAAAATTTTTTGAATTGAGGTCTTTGAGATCTTCAAGGACGCCTCAATCTCGCGATATGTCACATGTCTATCTTCAATGATGAGTTTGCGCACAGCATCGACGTTTTTATGGGTGACTGCCGTTTTTGGTGCACCCACCCTGGGATCGTCGCTAACACTCACCCGTCCACATTTGGATTATTCATACCAACGGGAAATTGTCGACTGGTGTGGCGCTTCGTTGCCGAAAACAGACAGTAACTCAGCAAGGCATTCTTGTTGCGGTAATTATCTCTGAAAGTTGTAATAAATTATGGCGCGAAAATGTTCTCGGTTGAGTTCCATTTTTCTAATGACTTGGTGACACTTAAAAATTCACTGTAGTGAGGACACTGCACATATTGTTGTGAAACTTTGAATTTAAGTTTACTAAAGAGTGAAGTTAAGATTCAGTTCTGACGTTCGTTCCGCGCGGCCTACTATGTTTCTATATGCAAAACTTAAAAGACATCCCTCGTATTTGTGGTCAATTCCACCGGTGTCATCAATATATATCAGTATATATATATCCTTTAATTTCTTTGGCTGTAAGGCAAAGTAATGCAAAAGTACACTCTTACAACTTAAAAGCTCAAGCTTTCGAAGAATTTTTTCTTCATCGTCTGGAGCTGGAAACAATTATTAAAATAGCAACTATAAGTAATTAGGAGAAAATTATTTACTTACTAAGTCGGCGAGATTGTTGCTGAAATTGTTTTTTAAACAACAGTGAAGGGAACACATAGTCGACGTTTTTTTTTATTCGTCGTTGTTTAAAAAACAATTTCAGCAACAATCTCGCCGACTTAGTAAGTAAATAATTTTCTCCTAATTACTATTAGTTGCTATTTTAATAATTGTTTCCAGCTCCAGACGATGAAGAAAAAATTCTTCGAAAGCTTGAGATTTTAAGTTATAAGAGTGTACTTTTGCAATACTTTGCCTCTACCCAAAGAAATTAAAGGATATCTTCTCCTAACAGTTAAGGCAATTAACTATGAATACTATACGTATATATATATATATATATATAATAATCTATATTTCAAATTGTACAATGACATTACAAAATTTGTATAGCCACTACAAAATGAAACGTTGCGTCACTGTCACCGTAAACATAGTAGTTTACCTGACACCTTTTTTTTGTGTTACATGCTTATATCTTAAAACAGCTACAATCTAAAACTATTACAACTCTCATAGAACTCATCTATTGTATAAGGCCTCTGACTGTACTAGAAATTGCTTAATAATCTTTTTAAATTTATGTAAACTTTTTATGTTTTTAATTTCATTTGGTAGAGGATATAGGATAATCTATGTATTGGATAATTAACATTGACTGCTCGAGTATCATAAACAGTTTTCACCTCAAGCTCAAATAAATTTTATATATATATTAAAAATATACCGAAGTTTGTTCAGGGGGCTAATTCTTGAAATGACGGAGTAGATCAACAGATAGACTGTACCTGTCTTACCTTTCGGGGAACTGTATTGTTAAACACTGATAGATCAGCTGCTTACTTAGTCATTCTTGGGAGAAAAAGTGCAAAGCCACGCCGTCACCCATCGGTTTGATCTCCAAAGTCGAAGTTAACTCTCTGAAGAAACGTTTAATGATATGAAGAACCTAGGAACAATTTATTTCGTCGAAAATAGATGTACTCACAAACTGTTTGACAAATTGCAACAGCTGCCAGAATTTGTGTTCATTTCCCAAGCAGCGTTCTTTTCTCGTGCGCTCAAGAATTGGGACCCTAATGTCTTACAGTTTTGACATTTCCCAATGGAATTGGCAGCTAATCCGCCCCAACAAATTGGTCGATCGATCCTAACAATGTCGTACATATAGTTCTGCTGTATGTCATAATTCCATAACGTCAACATGGGTGTTTCCTTCGTCATCTTTGTTATTGTAGCGATTTTCTGGGTTCTTTTAGGTGGGGATTAAAACACTGGATTCCACAAAAAGAAATGCACTAATTCATTTAGCTTGACTAGATAGAACATTTATGTACACCACTATTTATGTCTGACTATTTATTTGCGAATTATTATGGCGCGCCATTCACTGCACTATACTCTACTCTGCTTCTGTCTCCCGGCCGTTGACCTATATAGTCCGCATCGCAGGTACTCGTTGATTCGAGACGGTTCTGGTGAGCCACATAGCGGCGGTCTAGAATCTTCGAGGTCACTTCGCGTCGTTCTCGAAGAAAATTCCCTGCATGGTTCTCAACAGATGTCGCCAGCACAAAATGAGAGTCTGGCGGGGTCCCCAACAGATGTCGCCAGCACTGAAGGAGAGTGGCGCGGACCCCAACAGTTGCGCCAACAGTACTATTCATTCTTGTTACATCAAGTAACTGAAAAATTACAACAATAGCGATCAGATCGCAGCAATTGTCACTTTGACACTAGCGATCTCTCACTACATGTGATGTAACCTCTGCTTCGGAGACGACAATAGCGGCCATTCATAGCTTATATGGCCTAAGCTGCCAGTGATTATGCTTGTCGTTGGGTGGTGTTCACCGCGAGAAGGCGTGAGCTAGCGACTAGTTAGTACGCAAGTGTCAAGTATGGCGATCATATATACACCTACGAGCCCCTTCCCACTTCAGTTGGCCCAACTATTGAAATCTTAGTTTTTTTCTTATCAAACACAAATAATAAAAATGTAGCAGGGTGTTATAGGTTTAAAATATCAACAATGAATATTTTGATAATATATAGTAGAAAACACCAACTTTATCACTCCCTAATAAAATTTGCAGCATAAAAATAACACATGTTGCAATTACAGCAAATCAACCTATTTTCATTTCAATGCCTAAATTAAGTCTATAACGCATAGGTGGCTGTGAAAAATAAAAGCCATGACAATTGTTTTTATTAATCACAGCTGTCAGAATACGTTTAAAATAGTTTTGGGTATTTAAGGTTTTCAAAATGGGTAGAGGAAAGGTTATTAGTGAGAAAACTCGGTTACTGATAATTAAATTTTTTAATCCTGGGAAATTGCAACTTTGAAGACTTATCGCGGTACAGTGTGAGAAATATTGTTAGAAGTTATAACGTAACTGGTTCAGTTAATATTAAGCCACGATATGTGAAAAAAAGTAATATCACAAATGCCGACCGAAGAGCATTAAGAAGAATAAACGTGAAAAACACGCGTGCCAATTATTTACAATTAAGTGCTCTGTGGAGTGACGCTGTTGGAAGGAGAATTTCGAGGTCCACAACTTATAGAGAGGCCCACAAACTGGGATTTGGCACTTGCAAGATAAGTTTTCTTATAAAAAAAAGTGAAGTAAAAACCCTAAAGTTGCACAACATGATTATAGGCCAAAGAAAAGCCGCTATTAACTCCACTGCAAAAGAAAAATCGGCTTATATGGGCTAAAGAACATAGACAATGGACACCTCAACAATGGTGTGCAATATAATGGAGTGATGAGGCCCGATTCGAAGTTTGTGTTGGTGACAGTCGCAGTAGAGTTATTCGCAAAAAAATGAAGCATTCCATGTTGACTGTCTGAAGAGAAAAGTGAAATTTCCAGCATCCATTATGGTCTGGGGCAGTATGTCATCAAAAGGAATAGGAAAATTTCATTTTATTGATGGAAATGTGGATGCAAACAAATATTTGGCAATTTTAGAAGAATCGCTTTTACCAGTGATGGAAGAATGCTATAAAATGGATGGAAGAAAATAATGTACCACTTTTGAAATGGGTTTCTAGCAGTCCAGATCTGTCACCTATTGAAACTTTGTGGCACGAGATGAAAAAGGTTCTACGACAACATCCTGCTCGTACAATCACCGAACTGCTTCAAGAAATATGCGATTGTTTTACACCAAATTTTTGCCAAAACTTGGTTAACACTATGCCCCAAAGAATTTATCCCGTTATAAAAAATAAAGGTGATGTTACCAAATGGTAATCTTTCAATTGTTGCTTTGTTAACTTCGCGCATTTATTCGCACATTGTTTATTTGTTCAGATGTTCTATTAGTTATAGGTCTAAGTGATTTCAAATATGTATTTTTTACGACTAGAGTGTATCTAAAATGTTTTTGAGAAAATAAATTGTTTTAGAAGTAAATACGTAGTCATGCCATAAGTTCTGTCCCTCGTTTTCAAACAAGTGTAGACCTGTTAATACTTGTCCGATTGTTTACATTGTGGTGTCAGTTGATTAAGCGCTTTTCGGGTAATTACATATACCTCAGTTTGTATTGATCTCTCGAAGCATAACGATGGAGTGGGGCAAGGCAGAGAACCGTATTGCAGTGATAGCTTTACATAAGTGTAATCACAGTGCTAGTCAGATTTTTGAACTCTTACGCGGCCTTCAAATATCGCGTAAATTTGTGTCTAGGACCATTCAGCGGTACAATGAGACGTCCTCTGTTGATGACAGGCCAAGAAGCGGAAGACCTCGTCAAGTAAGGACTCCAGCAGCCATCAAAGCCGTAAAAGCCAGGATACAAAGGAATCCACTCCGGAAGCAGAAGATCCTATCCAGGGAAATGAAGATTCCTGTCCGGACGATGTCGCGCATCATTAAACAAGACCTAGGGCTAGGGGCTTACCGGAGACGTACGGGCCAGCGACTTACGGCCACCTTGCGACACATCAGGGCGACAAGATCCAAGAAGCTCTTGGAGAGGTACGCAGCTGGGGGATTCCGAAAGATTTTGTTCACGGATGAGAAAATCTTCACCATAGAAGAAAAATTCAACCGACAAAATGACAAAGTGTATGCAAGGAGTTCACAGGAAGCTTCGGAGAGCATTCCGAGAGTTGAGAGAGGCCACCACCCTGCGTCAGTCATGGTTTGGTGGGGGGTGTCCTACGAAGGGGTCACTCAGCTCCATTTCTGTAAACAGGGCGTGAAAACAAAAGCGGCAAACTATCAGAGCGACATACTGGATCCTATCGTCAAGCCTTTAAGTGGTACATTGTTTGCCAACCAACACTGGGTCTACCAGCAGGATTCCGCCCCCGCTCACAAGGCTAAGAGTACGCAGCGCTGGCTGGAAAGCAATGTGCCAGAGTTCATTGCTGCGGAAGATTGGCCCTCAGGGAGTCCGGACCTCAATCCTTTAGACTACAAGTTGTGGGACCTGCTAGAGCAGTTGGCCTGCTCCAAAGCCCACCGTAATATCGAGTCCCTGAAAGCGGATTTGATCCGATCAGCAGCAGCTATTCCTTTGGAAGCTGTGCGTGCAGTGATAGATGAGTGGCCCGCGAGATTGAAGCAGTGTGTGAAGGCCAAGGGGGGACATTTTGAATAAAACTGTTTGATTATGAATTCTAAAAATGTTGTCGAATAAATAATATCTTTCATATAAATATATCTTATCTTGTTTCATTTTTATCATGAGATTATCATGGGACAGAACTTATGGCACGACTACGTAGTTTCGTCATGTTTAGTTTATAAAGGCATATTTTGGTACAAATTTTGAAGTGGGAAGGGGCTCGTACATCACAGCGATAACTTTACATAACACTGTTGTGGTGTGACTCCGAGATGTTTGTTACTCCATAATGCACTTCTTGCCTGCATGATCTACTGCTTTGCGCACGTATTTTGCAAGCAGGTATTCAAAGTGCGAGAAGAGAATATTACTATCAACTTCTTTTTTGTATACCTATAATGTAATTATGGCTATGATGATGAAAAAGTGAAATTGATTACATAAACAGATGTAGGACTCCAAAGTGCTGTTGATGCCATTAATGCGGTCGGTAGCGAGTTTGGAATGATTATAAATTAAAAGAAAATAAAAATAATGACGATCACGAAGTCACAATGTATATCTTCCAATAACTGTGGATGGCAAAATATCTGAACTAGGTAACCAGTTCAAATAGCTTGGCAGTTGGTTAGACGGCAAAATAAATTCGGATAAGAAATTTAAAGCCAGAATAGGACAAGCCAGAAATTGCTTCATTCTGCTAAACGGTTTGCAGTGTTGTGTGCAATCCATATCTCAATGTTCAGTTGAGAGTTAGAATGGCTCACTGCTACGTTTGGTATATTCCTTTATATGGTGTCGAAACTTGGACACTCGCAACAGCAACTTTGAACAAAATGGAAGCTTTTGAAATATGAATATACCGCAGGATACTTGTAATTCCACGGACTGACATAGTTACAATCTGCGGGATATAACGAAGAGTAGGAAAGGGAGCTGCAGTATGAAGAAAAGTTCAGAAAGACTCGAGAAGCAACAAGTATAATATCCCTCATTTGATTATTGAAAGATTTTATGTACTGTATAACGTATCTATTATATCCAACCCATTCCAAAAAATGGGAGCTAAGAACGACCTTTACAACTACAGGCATATAGCTCTGCTTTCTGTTATAAGTAAGGTGATGGAGATGTGCATAAATCACGAGCTTCTGGACTACCTCGAACGTCATGGCTTGATTAGCGACAGGCAGTATGGTTTCCGGCACCAGCAATCCACAGGGGACCTTCTAGCATACGCAATTGTGGAGTAAACTCATCCAGTCTTAGAGTGAGGCTCATGTCTTTGCTCTTGGCATCACGAAAGCGTCCAGTCAGCTGTGGCACGCTGCCCTCTGATGCAAACTTTCATCCTATGGCTTTCCCGAGAGGCTTTGCAGATGGGTGGCTGACTTTCTCACAACGTCAGCGTGGGTGTTCTCCAGGGGTCGGTCTTGGCTCCCACACTGTTCCTCTTACGTATCAACGACCCCCTTTCCTGTACGATAAATCCAATCCACAGCTTTGGTGATGACGGCTCTCTGCATGCAGGAATTCAGAGCGACAAGCCGATCTGTGCCTTCTCTGTCGAGAGACCTGGAGGTTTTCGCTTCTTGGGGGCGCAACAATACGCAATGTTTAATGGTTCCAAAACTTAGTTCTGTGCCTTGACGAACAAGAAATGTCCTAGCGCTCATCCGGTTTCGATGGATTGACGAGTTCTGCAAAAGAGACTTTCATTTCGGCTGGTCGGAGTCCAGATCACCGAGGACTTAATCTGACACGAACACATCTCAACAATAGCGGCAACTGCTGGGAAAAAGCTAGGCTAATCGTTTAGGGCTAAGAAGTAATTTTTCCACTCTATACGAGGCTCAGATAAGACCTAGCCTCCAGTATTGCTCACATGTTTGGGGTGGTGCCGCCCCGACTACATTGTTCATGCTCGATGCTGTCAGAGGAAGGCTGTTCGACTGATCGATGACTCTTTTCTAACAGACAGTCTCGGGACCCTTTCGTACCGGCGGGCCGTCGGCGATCTAGCCCTCTTCTACCGCTACACCAACGGACCTTGCTCCTCGGAGCTCTCCTCCATGTTGCCGTCGCGGGACAGACCCGCCTGACTTCGGCCTCCCATTCTAACCATGTCAAACTTCGTACATCTAGAATGACTGGCCGATACAACCGCTCCTTTGTCCCTAGAGTGCCGATATTGTGGATCAATCAACAAGACGAGGCTTTCCCCAGTTGTACTAACCTTAGGCAGCTCAAAAATCGCAATAACAAAGTTTCTTTGGGATCCTCATAGCAGCCGCTGTACTTGATTATAGGTACGATATAAAGGGTTGTCCAATAGGGACGCAGGAAAGTAAACGTCAATTTGACATAGACGCCATCTTTGTTTTCTGTCACCGACATGTCATTTTGTTAGTTGAATGTTTACCGTTGATCGCTATGGAGTCGTATTCGATTGAAGACCGCATTAAAGTTATTCAAGAACACTACAAAAATGGTGCAAAAATAAAAAACACGTTTCGCGCGCTTCGTGAACATTTAGGTCGCAACAACCGCCCAAACGAAACAACCATCGGTCGTCTGGTGCGTAAATTCGAGGCAACAGGTTCTGTGGCAAATCTGCCAGGCTCTGGCCGGCCAAGGAGCGTTCGCACACCGGAAAATATTGCTGTTGTGAAGGAGAGTGTGAGAGACGATCCGAAACAATCAACAACGCGTCGATCCCAAAAATTGGGCATTTCGAGAACCAGTTTGCTCCGCATTCTCCACAAGGATTTGAAGGTACACGCCTACAAGATCCAATTGACGCATTGACCATTTTTCGCGCCGAACGTTCCCAGATTGGCTCCTTGAACACCGCCAAATTGATGCCAATTTTTCATCAAAAATCATGTTCAGCGACGAAGCGCATTTCACTTTGAATGGGACGGTAAACAAGCAAAACTGCCGCATCTGGGCGAACGAAAATCCCCGTGAGTATCAAGAGCAGCCGATGCATCCTAAAAAAGTGACTGTGTGGTGTGCATTGTGGTCAAAAGGCATCATCGGACCTTACTTTTTCGAAAATACGGCCGGGCATGCCGTTACCGCCAATTCTGAGCGATATCACGTGATGATAGAGGACTATTTTTTGCCACAACTTGAAGGAATGGATATTGACGATGTTTATTTCCAACAAGACGGTGCAACATGCCACGCAACCAACGTCAATATCCATCGATTGCAGTCCTTCTTCGGTGATCGCGTGATTTCGCGCAGAGGAAATGTGCCATGGCCACCAAGATCGTGCGATTTGACTCCCTTGGACTTCTTTTTATGGGGATATTTGAAAAGCAAAGTCTACGTCAACAAACCAGGGACCCTCCAAGAACTCAAAAACAACATCATTGCCGAGATAAATGCCATAGAACGTCGTTAGTCGTTAGTCGTGGTGAACATTTGAGAGATATTATTTTTCATACATAAGTGGTATAAATGAACCTTCAAAATAAAGTACCCAACTTGATTTGAATATCAATCTTTCTTGTTTTAATATACGTCTACTTTCCTGCGTCCGTTTTGGACAACCCCATATTACAGTCTGTTCGAATTTATGGTCGTTTCAAGATCACTGCGAAATGGATAAATTAGTGCGCTGAAAGTATCGAATTAATATACTTTACCCATTTTTTACCCTGGCTGCTGCAACTCCCTTAGCCGCCACCCCTGCTTTACCCCTTTTCACTTTCACCGCAACATCCCACCACTTCGCGTCCAACCCCATTCTCTATCCCTATCCGGCGTTTCCCTTACCCTCTCCCCCTATTTCCCCTACCCTTTACACCCTTCTTACAGACGATCCTGCGGAATGGCGAATCTCAACGTGTGAAATTGGCTTCTTGGGCATGTAGTCGACCCTACGGTATCAATTTCATCGTTTTCCCTTTCGAAAAATGTGGTGAGTGATGGATTTTACTTATTTCAGTTTGAGGTTAAGTGCGGTGACACAGTATAGAGATTGTTTTAGTAGAATTGAAAGGAAAGCATGTCTTCATAACCAAATTTTTTATGTAGAACGATTTTCTCATCCCCCTTTTCGTAGTCTTTGTACGGTAGGATCATTGATTAAGTTGGGAATTACTCATTTCCTAAATAGATAAATATTTAATGTGCATAGTTTCGTATTTAAGATTTGAATATAAGAGATACCGGATAAGTAGTATTAGAAGTGGGATATGTTTCTAGTATAACAAATTTTTCTATCAATTTTGGTTGATGTTTTTCGGGAAATTGAAATATTAGGCCAGTGGAAACATTAGGGAATATTTTAATAGATTTTCTCGTTCTCCTTCTGCGTAGGCAGAGTAGTATCAGATTGAGAATTAGTCATTTGTATTTCTAAAACAGATATTGACCATAGTCTTATGTACAAGTTCTTTAATTGTGATAGTTATTCTATAATGCTTGTAAGTACATGAGATACAAGAAATCAGTGTGTTGTATATTCCTTTTATAACCTCTTTATAGGTAATCTAAGAAAATGCATCGTTTTAAAAACTAATTGTGAAACAATCAGTTTTGTATTCAAAACACGTAGTTATTATAGTTCACAAGTTAGTAACAACGTATTTACCTACAAGATAAGAGTGTAGTACAGATAGGTTGATGATTAAATAAAAATAGAATTGACAGCTTTTGGGACCGTTATCGCTAAAAGTATTGAGATCTAGAAGTCTAGTGGATTGAACAAATATACTTAAAAGCAAGGGGGTTTGAGGGACAATTCTTGGGGGGAAAGGCGTTTGACCCATCAGATCGCGGTATAGCCAGCCGTTTTGAACTAACAACTTTTTGAAATCATTCTGTAGTTATCTCTCTAACTCTGCGTTTTCTCTAACCAGCGTCACAAGCGTACGGTTATATCCTGACAAACTGCACAAGCTTTGATCAGCCAGAATCAGTGTTACTTTTGTATTCAGTATATGTACTAAGTGACATATAAATCCGAACACCCAGTTTAAATGGTTTTATTTTGATAAAATTTTGTAAGTACTTAATGAAGCATAATAAGTAAATGATAAAAACTTCAAAATGATTGCACTGCTTTAAAGCCCTTTGACCTTTAATAATGTGTGGATGCACCCTGATGTGCTACGCATTCTCCAACGTGCCTAGGCATGCTTCTGATCAGGTGGTCAATGTCCTCCTGTGGTATCTCATTCCAGGCAACCACCAACTCCTCTCGAAGTGCTTCTAGAGTCTGAGGAGGACGTTTCATTCCTGATCCCAGAGTGACCGTTGTCTGCACCACTCAAGGCGATTACATCGGTGTTCTCGAGTTAAAGGGAGGACCCAGTGTGGCCGGTATGAAAACAAGCCAAAACTTCTCATTCGTCGGTAAACACTTCGCATGCCAATAGGTCTTCCGTGTTCTGCAAACCATTCATTTGTAATGGACCTGGTAGTGGAGAAACGGTCCCAATAATCTTAGGCGGCGATCTTCACGGTCAAATTTTTCTCTTTCAAGGTCGATGTTGCATATTCTGAGTAGGGCACATCTGACAGTTTGTTATTGTCTAGGTCTCAATATCTTTAGAGGTGAGACCGAAGTATCCATTAAATACTTTCATACTTAAACTGCTACATTATCAAAATGCAAAAAAAACCTGATGTGAACAGGGTTTTTTTTGCTAAGGGGAAGGGGTGGCTTCCGGCAATATCAGCTGCAAAACAGCTACAAGCAAAGCTGGAGGAGTGTGTGGTTGTTCTCTACAATGCCTTCCCACGCTGAAGATTAAAATCCCATAAGAAAATGGACGGGGTAGCACCCAAACCAAAACAACTAAACGTAAGGTACATTATGAAGGGGTACTACTGGTGTTCAGCACCTTATGTCCCAGAATCTGGAGGTTAAACAAATGGCGCTCACACCACAATGTCAGGAGGAAAATTACTGACACCAAACACCCAACTTTATAATGGAAGGTTTAAATTACTAGTAACTGATCAAAATAGTAAAAAAAGGTTTCATAATTTTGGCACGTGACAAGATTGTGAGTTAACTGAACATTAACGTCCCACCTATCCGAACCCGTTCGTTTAAAAATCCTTTGACCTTGTGAAAGGTCATGCACAAATTTTTGAATGTACCCATATATGTAATGTAACATTTAATACTATATCTAATTATTGTGATATACATCACAGTTTGAACTTCATCCTGGGAGTAGTTAGGAATTACTTAAATAATTCTTGAATTGTTTCTTTCTTGATACTTTGCTTATTTTTTGTTTTTTTTCCTTTAGGTAGATTGAGTCACCTGCTTTTTGCATGTTTTCTATTTTTGATAAGCGATTCATCTTTTTTTAGAATTACCCGTAAATGGTTTCTATTAGGCAGTTTATTTATTTATAACATACTGTATACGGTGTGGTTTTCTGCTATCATTCTTGTATCAAATTCAAATTTATTGGTGCCATTATACATAATTATGTACTCGCACAGGTCAAATACACAAAAGTCATTTAGAATAAAATAAAAAAAAGCAATAACAAAATTTATAAAATGTATGCCGGATAAATTCATCCATAGTTTAGAAAGCACCAGATATTAAGATGCTTTTGAGATTTTCTTTGTATTTGTTGACAGGTACATCTCTGATGCTTTTCGGCAGGTGATTAAAAAATGTTATGCCCTGGTACTCTGGTGACTTCTGACACCTTGTTAGCCGAAATGACATTAGATTACTCTTAAACCTGGTATTGTGTTCGTGAACATCACTGTGCATTCTGAACATAGTGAGGTTGTTATTTATATGGAGTAGGCAGTTCATGATGTACTGGCAGGGCAATGTTAAGATCTCTAGGTCTCTAAAAGCTTGCCTACAATCAGCCCTAAAATTCAATCAGTCAATTATTACTATGGCCTTCCACTGAACGCCAAAGACACGATGTGACTGTGCCGCGCATTCCCAGATCAGTAAAGCGTATGACATGACGGAATGAAATAATAAGCTGTTTTCAATACAGATGTACTCACGCATTCCGCTAGGCATCGAAACGCATACAGTGCAAACCCAAGTTTTTTCGCCACGTGGTTTATGTGGTCATCCCATTTGACATGCGGGTCGACGTGCACCCCAGGAATTTTACAGATGATGTATACATATTTACATTGTCCAGCTTTCGTAGTGAAGAATACCATCTGTTGGTCTTTCCATCGAACCATTCCTTATTATCTGACTGTATGGGTTCCATTCCCAATATTGCTTCATCCAGAGCACATGCAGTAAGGGAGAGAGTGGTGTCGCCCGCGAAAAGGCTGCAAGCAGCATCTATGCTTACCAAAGGCAAGTCAATGTATAGGAATAATATACGACCCAGTATTGAGCCCTGTGGAACTCCGATGGACAGTTCCCTTTTCTGAGACACCACTTCTCCCACCACTACTATTCTATTTGAAAGATATAATGTAACTAGGGAAATCGGTAAAATTATGGTATTCAAGTTTGTGGATTAGGAGCTTGTGGTCCAAACAAACTAAAACTGTACTGAGATCACAAAAAGTAAGTGCGGTGTATTCTAAGGATTCGAAAGAGTTCAGTATTCTATTCACCAAATCTAAAGTGTATTATTATTTTTTCGAAATCAACATTGAGAGGTGGCAAGACAACTTCCAAAATGGCACAAGCATTTCTCAACTATTTTGGCAATTATTGGAAGAAGACTGAGTTGGAGATATCATTTTTGTCACTACTTTTGAATACTGTTAAAACCGTAGTTTTTTTTTAAGAATTTCTGGAAAGATTCCTTCTCTGAAACACATATTAGAGCTTGGTTAGAGGGATAATTATAAGATCTTTTATTGTTTTAAGAATGCCTACATTAAATCCGAAGATGTCCCAACTAGTTATAATGGGTGATTTTTTTGCTAGTATCTTTTTGGCAACACTGTTTTTGACAGATGACGCGTGAATCGAGTCTTGTGTCATTGTCAAACTTGTTCAGTTTGGTCTATAATTTAACCATGAATCGACTTACGAACGAACAACGCTTGCAAATTATTGAATTTTACTATCAAAATTCATGCTCGGTTAAGAGAGTGCATCGAGCACTGCTTCCAATTTATGGGCAATTTGGTCGGCCTACTGAGGGAGCTATTCGGAAGCTTTTGACTAAATTTCGAACCCAGTTTACATTATTGGACATTAAACCATCAACACGCAGACGTAGAGTGAGGACTGAAGAAAATATTGCGGCTGTATGCGCCAATGTTAGTGATGACCGTGAAATGTCGATTCGCCGCCGTTCGCAGCAATTGGGCCTCTGTTACTCCACTACGTGGAAAATTTTGCGACAGGATTTGGGTGTAAAACCTTATAAGATACAGCTGGTGCAAGAATTGAAGCCACCCGACCTCCCACAACGTTTCCAATTTGGTGAATGGGCGCTGGCAAAGTTGGAGGAAGATCCACATTTTTATCGAAAAATTGTGGTCAGCGACGAAGCTCATTTCTGGTTGAATGGGTACGTTAACAAGCAAAATTGCCGCATCTGGAGATAAGACCAGCCTGAAGCATTGCAAGAGCTACCAATGCATCCCGAAAAAATCACTGTTTGGTATGGATTACGGGCCGGTGGCATCATCGGGCCGTACTTCTTCAAAGACGACAATGGCCGGAACGTAACTGTGAATGGCGAGCGCTACCGTGCAATGATAACAAACTTTTTTTTTGCCCAAAATGGAAGAGCTGGACTTGGCTGACATGTGGTTTCAACAAGACGGTGCCACATGCCACACCGCACACGAAACAATGGCCCTATTGAGAGGCGAGTTCGGTGAACAGTTTATCTCACGTTTGGGGCCCGTCAATTGGCCGCCTAGATCGTGTGATTTAACGCCGTTGGACTATTTCTTGTGGGGCCATGTTAAGGCTAATGTCTACAGGGATAAACCAGCAACGATTGACACCCTGGAAGCCAATATTGAAGCATTTATTCGTGAGATACCGGCCGATATGTTGGAGAGAGTGTGCCACCTTGCGCATGGGTCATCTAAAGCGGAGCCGCGGCCAACATTTACATGAAATAATCTTTAAACATTAAATTATATCGAACGTTCTATCGATTCAAATAAAGATGTAATCGTTTTTTCAAATTTTTTGTGTTTTTTTAAAATCAAATCCTATACCTCTTAAAAATTCACCGTTTATTTTTTATGCTGTTGATCACATCCCTCAATTTGTTAAATGATATTTCTGCTAGTTTGAAAGCACTTACGGGTGGAATTATGCTTTTGAGGGTGTCTAATGGAATGTTAGAATTACTAGGTAGATAAGTTGATTTTTCCTGAAACCGTGTCGATTCCCCAACAGATGCTCGCCCGCCATGAACTTCACACCATTCGGCGGGCATTTCTCAACGCCCATCCCCAGCATCCACCAGTTCGCTGCAAAGTTCTCTCAAGATTCGGCTGCCACAGCGACGGCGAGTACGTTGACGCCTTCCGCTCAGGAAAACACCAACAGGTACACTGCCAACGGGGTGCCCTCTTTCACCCAGCACCACCATGCTTCCACGCAGCCTCAAACGATGCTGACCACCCTCAACGGAAGGTAACTTTTTTACTTACACCAGCAGCTATAGGGTCTTACCTCATCGAGACTCTAAGGCAACTATACAATTACTACTAATATCTGGTACTGAACAAGCCATCGTCGGGTCATCTAACAGATACAGGGTGCTCCAGAAAGACGTGCCAATATTTCTACTGTGGAAAGTTCATTCAACAAATAACAAAAAAGTCGCTTACGAAATTTAAATATTCAGGGTGACTTCGAGTCATTTATTTTAACAGTGAGTAGATCTGATCAAAAGAAATATTTTTTCCTTTAACATTTTTCTGGTTAAATTAAAGTAACAAAGTTATAGCCCTTTAGAAGTTTGAGTACCGCCCTGTCTCAACAATAATATTATGTGCTCGTGTTTGGCAATAACGGATATAATCCGCCTTATCGGTTCATCGCATCGGAAACAAAAAAGCGAAAGAATTTGAAACGCTTATCACGATGTTTTTACTACAATTTTATTCAGTTGTATTCGTCAATGTGTCAGTCGGTAACGCGTGAGTGAATAGTGGTGTTTGTTGCGTGGCTCAAACGAAATAAAAAATGGCACATGTTTACGAAAATGCTGAACTTGTGGACATGATTCTTATTTACGGGGGGAAGGGGGAGGGGAGTCGTCTTTACAAAATGCTGCCGCGGCATCACGGATTTATGCGGATCGGTTTCCCAATCGAGTGCAACCAACCCCTCGTGCCTTTGTTAATGTAGTACAAAGGGCTCGTCAATCAGGTGACTTAAGACCTCACAGGGGAGGGCATGCCGGTGCTCCAAGACCGCACGATCAAATACAGGTCCGCACTGAAATACTTGTCATGAGGATACTTTATAAAACAAGGTAACATTTTTCTTTTATTTTTTTTTATTTTTACACACATATTTTGGTTTATCTTCCTTCTACAATCATTATCTGAAAATTAATGACTCAACTTCAAAGTATATATCTACGGAGCTACTCAGTTAGGATTTTAGACGTTCAGTAGGAACAGCATTAGCAATAAACACACAGTCTCTCGGTCTAAACTAAACCAGGGATGTAGAACCTGGGGTACATGGACTCCTGATAGGAAATATTTTCTACGCCACTGCCTTTTTCGAGAAAAGAAGTGCATTTTATCGAATACCGTTGACTTTTCCATAGATTTTGTCTCTTCAGGAATTTTTGTCAGATCACTCGTTTTGGAGATATTTACGTTTGAATATTTGAGGTAAGATCCTAAAGATTTTTAGGTTTAACCTCCCCTATTCTGAAAACACCGGGAAGCTTCTTATACACTCTATGGCATGTTTAGAAAGCTATGGCACCTCATTAAAACATTAATTGAATATAATGCGTCAACCAGTAGCTTAGAAGCTTACCATTTATTAAACCTTGTCAATGCACGCCACTGGTTTTCTTATATACTGCTCCTGGTATTACACATGTTAGATTCTTCTGTTTGTCTAAAATCACAACTAGGAATTGTGGAACCAGTCAATTTGAGTAAGATTCTTATTACAGTGAACCCCCGATAATCCGGCCCCTGTCTAATCCGGCGCCCCCTGTAATCCGACATGTCTTTGAATATGTATTACATACATACGTATTTGACAATCTTCGCTAATGTAGATCACACAGGTTTGAACAGGTTCCAACTTGTACGCGCCACCGCTATCGTGCTCGACGCGTAAGCATTGTTTTACTTAAGTTTGAATTTGACTACTGGTGATAGCGGTACGGCCTAGCGTGCGTTCATTGTTTACTATTTATTCATTATGTATTAAGTATAGCACCTAGTAATGTCATCACAAACTCAGAAGCGAAAGCACAAAACATTGACAATTAAAGAAAAATGTAATATTTTAGACCGCTTAAATCGCAATGAAACTTTCAGTAGTTTAGCAAGTGTATACGGCGTATGCCGATCTACAATTTATGACATTAAAAGAAACCACGAGAAGATCAAGAAGTTCGTGTCAACTACTGACTGCGGGCCAGGCAAGAGACAGACACTCAAGAAAGCTGAACATCCAGAAGTGGAAGAAGCTTTGTACATGTGGTTTCTTCAGGAAAGAAATAGGCATGCACCAATTTCAGGATCCATGTTGGCCATGAAAGCTAAGTTTTTTATAAGGAAATTACAAAAAAAGATGATTTTGTGGCCAGCAAAGGATGGTTAGAACGTTTTAAAAGTCGTCATGGCATACGTTTAATGACTATTACAGGAGAGAAACTTTCTAACGATGCCACCTAGATAGAGCCCTTTAAATTAAGATTTTTTGCAAAAGGTGAACGATTTAAATCTTGACCCGTCACAGGTGTACAATGCAGACGAATCAGGACTTTTTTGGCGTGTGTTGCCTAACAAAACTTTCGTTTCTTGTAACGAAAAATCCGTACCTGGACGTAAAATAAGTAAAGAGCGTGTAACCATACTACCATGTGCTAACGCTGCGGGCACACACGCGCTTAAGATGATGGTCATTGGGAAATCTAATAAACCACGGACATTCAAAAACATTGATTTACCTGTACACTATTACGGACGAAAAAGTACCTGGATAACAAAAGACCTTTTCAAAAAGTGGTTTGATGAATGCTTCGTACCTGAAGTTAGAAAATGGTTAAAAGATCATAATTTTCCTCAAAAAGCGTTATTGCTTCTTGATAACGATCCCGGTCATCCGTCTGAAGAAGAACTAACAACTGAGGATAAATGCATCACTGCGATGTTTCTTCCGCCATATTGCACTGCACTGATTCAACCAATGGACCAGAATATCATTCAGTTCGTCTATCAAGACTATAAGAAAAACCTACTTCTGAGAGCCGTATCAAAAGACTAACCAATAGAAAAAACTTTTGAAGAATTTAATATGAAAGACTTGGTTTTTGTTCTTTGCCAGTCGTGGAATGCGTTACCGTCATCAACTATTAAATCGTTTTGGAAGAAGTTATGGCCAGATATAGTCACCACTCCTAGCAACGTTCCACAAATCAGTGTTACTTCGGAAGTTATAGAACAAGTCGCGACTGAAACACAGATAAGTCCGAAAGATTTGGAAATCTGGTGCCGTGGAATGGATAAAGAGGAAAATGTTTTTCATGAAATGTTTGATGAAGAGATTATAAAAGAGGTTTCTAATTATACAACAAACAATCAGGAAAATAACGACGATGTGATTGCAACTGCTCGACAAGTCACAGCACAAGACGCAATTAACGCCTTTGAGCTAGGTTTACAATGGGCTCAAGAGAATGGTACATCCTACAACAAACTTTTACTTTTGAGAAGACTGAGGGACAAAGCTCTGATCTCGCGTCATAACAACCTTAAACAAAAAAAATGATGAATATTTCCAAGCTTCATAATTTGATAAATTCATTAATGATTTTGATTAATAATTCTTGATTATTTTCGTACATATGTATGTGCATTTATGCTTAATTTTATAATAAAACGTAAGCTCTCTATTGTTATTTATACGTAATTTACTAAATTTGACATACATAAACGATGTATGATTTGTACTTCAAAGTACATACATATACATAACATATATAATCTTACCATTGGATATGTAACTTGTCGGATTACAAGGTACTCTTTTGTAAAAAAATTCGGACTATAGGGGGCCTTAGGCAGTGCTCTATAATCCGGCAAATTCGATAGTCCGACATTGCCCTGCATAATGTTTGTCGGATTACCGGAGGTCCACTGTATTTTGCTTCTGATCGGCCTTTTTTCTTAAAATTCTTTACCATTTCGGATTAAGTCGTCTCAACAAAGTAAATATCACAAATCGTTAGCAACCTCGGACACGAAGTATGAGGACAAAGTACACTTTCAACACTGTTCCATAGAAGATAAGGCTCAGTACTATGCTCCGAAGCATACTTCCCAGTCAGTACTGACCTCCAAATCCTTTAACCTCTACGGTTCTTCGTAATTCTTGAAAATGAGGGAGTAGAACGACTAATAGAAAGTTATCGCGTGGTTCCATTACTTTCCAAGGGACTTCATTCTTTAACATTCATATAAGAGTCGCTACCTGGGTCATTCTCAGGCGAAAGTCTCATCATCGTCCATCAGGCTTATCTCTAAAGGTGAAGTTATCATTCTGATGCAACATTTATTGCCAGGAAAATCCACGAACAAATTGTTTGGCCGAAAATTGATGGATTCACAAATATCTTATGAACGGTCATTGTAGGTACTGGTAATTCTACTCTACAATTTTCTCTCTGACGAATAACGTGGAAGTTGCCTGAGGATATGGACGCAGGAGTTTGATACAGTTTAATGCTTCTAAATAAGGATTTTCTTTCTTTAGAATAAACATTCTTGAAGATGACAAAGGAATTCCTGATTTATCGATTTTAGGTAAAATTTTCCTAACTATAGGATTACCATTGTAGGCTGGACCGTGTTCTTTACGTCCATTTTTGAACATTAAAGCATTTAGGGCATCTTTTCCTAATTGGAAATTTATTTCTAGTGGGAAGTATCAAGGAAACTACATAAATCAAGTATACGGACAACATGCAGTTAGGCAAGAAAAAAGGCAGTACGAACCGCAGGAGTTGGCTCAGGAACTATGCGCAGCCATGCTACAACAGAGCCAACAACTTGAGAAGCAAACAGAAAATAAGGTGCGTAGTCATCTGAAATATTCAATTTAATTTAAATTGGTGTGTGCTAGAAAAAATCCGCGGGTGTGTTAGGCGAATGTCCCACGATCAGTATTTGCTGTGGTCTGTATTTACCATGGAACACACTGCGCACATTCTGGCAGTGATGATTTGTATCACATAATGGTAACGGGTGATTTTTTAATAGGTATAGGATTTGATTTTCAAAAAAAAAAAAATTTGTTTGAAAAAGCGATTAAATCTTTATTTGAGTTGATAGAACGGTCGATATAATTTAATGTTTAAAGATTATTTCATGTAAATGTTGGCCGCGACTCCGCTTTAGATGGCCCATGCGCAAGGTCCAATTTTGGCACACTCTCTCCAACATATCGGCCGGTATCTCACGAATAAATGCTTGCTTCAATATTGACTTCCAGTGCGTCAATCGTTGCTGGTTTATCCCTGTAGACATTAGCCTTAACATGGCCCCACAAGAAATAGTCCAACGGCGTTAAATCACACGATCTAGGCGGCCAATTGACGGGCCCCAAACGTGAGATAAACTGTTCACCGAACTCGCCTCTCAATATAGCCATTGTTTCGTGTGCGGTGTGGCATGTGGCACCGTCTTGTTGAAACCACATGTCAGCCAAGTCCAGCTCTTCCATTTTGGGCAAAAAAGTTTGTTATCATAGCACGGTAGCGCTCGCCATTCACAGTTACGTTCCGGCCATTGTCGTCTTTGAAGAAGTACGGCCCGATGATGCCACCGGCCCGTAATCCACACCAAACAGTGATTTTTTCGGGATGCATTGGTAGCTCTTGCAATGCTTCTGGCTGGTCTTCACTCCAGATGCGGCAATTTTGCTTGTTAACGTACCCATTCAACCAGAAATGAGCTTCGTCGCTGAACACAATTTTTCGATAAAATTGTGGATCTTCCTCCAACTTTGCCAGCGCCCATTCACCAAATGGGAAACGTTGTGGGAGGTCGTGTGGCTTCAATTCTTGCACCAGCTGTATCTTATAAGGTTTTACACCCAAATCCTGTCGCAAAATGTTCCACGTAGTGGAGTAATAGATGCCCAATTGCTGCGAACGGCGGCGATTCGACATTTCACGGTCGTCACTAACACTGGCGGATACAGCCGCAATATTTTCTTCAGTCCTCACTCTACGTCTGCGTGTTGGTGGTTTAATGTCCAATAATGTAAACTGGGTTCGAAATTTAGTCACAAGCGTCCGAATAGCTCCCTCAGTAGGCTGACCAAATTGCCCATAAATTGGAAGCAGTGCTCGAATGCACTCTCTTAACCGAGCATGAATTTTGATAGTAAAATTCAATAATTTGCAAGCGTTGTTCGTTCGTAAGTCGATTCATGGTTAAATTATAGACCAAACTGAACAAGTTTGACAATGACACAAGACACGATTCACGCGTCATCTGTAAAAAACAGTGTTGCCAAAAAGATACTAGCAAAAAAATCACCCATTATATGTTACATTTTCCGACCGCTAGCTGTCGCAAAATGTAATAATAACCCAGGAGGTGTTGATTTTATCACAATCGGCGGAAATCAAAGATAATTCTAAAATAAACTAAAACATTGCAAAGTCGCATCAAAATTGGAATAAACAATTCTAATCAAAATAAAAACAAAATATTAAATTGAATGTTCGAACAGACCACCTTCTGGAGTTTGACAGAAACCTAACCTGTGCGAACATTTTCCGGTGTAACATATTGGCGACGCGGCAGATTTTGCGACCTTCTGCGTCACCGTTGCTAGGTAATGTGGTGATGACATTCGCTTTTCAGCCGGCTTCTATCTCTTTCTAACATGTGTTGATACACACTTCCGCTTGTCTCGAACACATTGAAATCAAACCGTCAAACAAATTTGGTTTTTCCTATATACAGGGTGTCCCAAAAAAATTGTGCAATATTCTACCAGCGGTTTCTAGAGCTTAAAATAGGAAGAACAGTTTATATAAACATAGGTCGACAAACGTCCCCTAAGGGCGCTACGGTCTTTTAAAGGGGCTCCAGTGAAGATGGTTCATCCTTAATATTTCCGAAACGTGTTGAGATAAAGATATAAAGTTTGGTATTCTAGCCTAGTTTTTTATGCTGGATTTAAAAATATTAACAATTTTAGACAGTTTTGTTTGGAAGCGTATGTAACAGGGACGGACTCAGGTTATTTTAGCCCCAAAATTTATGTGTGATTCTATTTTTGAAATTCAATTTTAGAGTTTGAAAATTTAGGGTTTTCTACATAAAAAAGTTACTCTTATTGAATGTCGATAAATTATGCCATTTTTGAATAAAATCAAACTAAAAAATTTGTCACATGATAGGAAAAGTACTGCGAATTTAAATGAATTGTTGAATAATTAGCCATGGCAATGAAAAAACTAATTTAATAATTGCTAAATACTACATAAATACATATTTATATTGCAACATAGCTAACATTTAGGTAAAAACAAAAGAAATAAATTTTTTCTACGAACGAAATTGAAATTTGTTTAAAAAAGAAGACATACAGTTGGATTACTTAAAGCTAGCTTTACAATAAGTGTTCAAATAAATTCCCATTTTGTTGGATACAGAGTCTCGCTCGACGAACCAATGATTGCATAGCCCGAAAAGTGGAAAACCTTTTTCTTCTTATTCTATAAAACCATCTTCAGGGGAGCCCCTTTAAAACACCGTAGCGCCCTTAGGGGACGTTTGTCGACCTATGTTTATATAAAGTTTTCTTCCTATTTTAAGCTCTAGAAACCGCTGGTAGAATATTGCATACTTTTTTCGGGACACCCTGTATATACAGGGTGACTTTGAAGTTGAGTCATTAATTTTCAGATAATGATTGTAGCAGGAAGATAAACCAAAATATGTGTGTAAAAATAAAAAAAAAATTAAAAAAAGAATGTTACCTTGTTTTATAAAGTATCCTCCCGACAAGTATTTCAGTGCGGACCTGTATTTGATCGTGCGGTCTTGGAGCACCGGCATGCCCTCCCCTGTGAGGTCTTAAGTCACCTGATTCACGAGCCCTTTGTACTACATTAACAAAGGCACGAGGGGTTGGTTGCACTCGATTGGGAAACCGATCCGCATAAATCCGTGATGCCGCGGCAGCATTTTGTAAATAAGAATCATGTCCACAAGTTCAGCATTTTCGTAAACATGTGCCATTGTTGATTTCGTTTGAGCCACGCAACAGACACCACTATTCACTCACGCGTTACCGACTGACACTGACTGTATACAACTGAATAAAATAATTGTAAAAACATCGTTCCAAATTCTTTCGCTTTTTTGTTTCCGATGCGATGAACCAATAAGGCGGATTATATCCGTTGTTGCCAAACACGAGCACATAATATTATTATTGAGACAGGGCGGTACTCAAACTTCCAAAGGGCTATAACTTTGTTACTTTAATTTTACCAGAAAAATGGTAAAGGAAAAAAACATTTCTTTTGATCAGATCTACTCACTGTTAAAATAAATGACTCAACTTCGAAGTCACCCTGTATATATGTGTATATACAGGGTGTTTCAGTTTATTGTTGCATAACTTTAAGATTCGATAGAACTTTTAAAATTAATGCATAAAGTCTATATAAACATGGGTCGAAAAATGCGTGGCTTCCGAAATACAGGGTGTTTAAATTTTCTTTCTAAAATAGTTTTTTTTTAATATTTCGAACAATATTTGATGTATAAGAGTGAAAATTGGTATACAAGAGTTTTTTGGTACGACAAAACAAACCATGGGCATAGTTTTACTGCAGCCGCTAGAGGGCGCTCTCTACTGTACCTGTAGTGTATTAAAATGACCGAAATTTTTTTCTTAGTATAATTTTTTGCTTTTTGAATAAAAAAACTGATTCTTCGCACTTTTCAACATAAAAAAGCTCTCTTGTGAATTTTCGTTATAGTTAGCCGTTTTTGAGATATTTCGATTTTTAAGGTTCGATGCATTTTTAATTATTTATGATAAAATAACGTTAAAAAGTCAGTATCTCGATAATTTTTAGAAGTAGGCTGTGCCTGCAAATATTTTTGAAATTGAAAGCAGAATAAGGTTAAACGTCAATTAGTTGACAGTTAGTTTTGTTGTCTGTTGAAACGTGAAACGATTTTTTGCAATTGTGAATGCACGAAATGTAGTTTCTTTTACCTGTGTTTTTTTTTTGTAAGTTTCATAAAAATGCCATTTTTATTCTCCAATCAAGAGTTAGCGGATATTCATTTTGTGTATGGCTTTGTAAATGGAAACGTAGCAGAAGCAGCCAGAGAATACGCTCCAAGATTTCCAAACAGACGACATCCAACTCACTCAGTATTTGTAAGAGTGCATCGCCAAATAATTGAAAATGGTTTTGGAAGTCTCCAAAGGGATCAAAACATAAATGTTCGTCAGCGCAGATTTACCCGTATGATTCTGCGTGAGTTTGATAGAGATCCGACCACAAGTGTTAGGAGAGTTTCTGGTGCCTTGGGAATTTCAGCAAGCCATGTTCACCGTGTTCTTAGAAATGACTATAGACGTCCTTACCATTTGCAACCTGTGCAAGGACTACAGCCAGGGGACGGAGAACGAAGAATCACATTTTGTCAGTGGATTCTTGATAGAACTGATAATAATAGGGAGTTTTAAGTAACGTTTTATGGACCGATGAGTCATGCTTCACTAGACGTGGAGTGGTAAATTTTCATAATTAACATATTTGGTCGCATGAAAATCCGCATGCAGTTCGGGAAAGAAATTTTCAGCATAAATTTAGTGTGAACGTGTGGATTGGTATCTACCGTAATCGACTATTTGGACCCTACCTTTTGCCTGCAAGGTTAAATGCTGCGACCTTCTTGGAATTTTTAAAGGCTGAACATGCAAATATGTGGGATGTTGTTATAATAGATTTAAGAAGATTGGCCTGGTTCCAGCTTGATGGTTGTCCAGCTCATTATTCGAGAATAGTTAGAAACTGACTGGACGAAAATTATCCAGAAAGATGGATCGGCCGTGGAGGACCAGTCGCCTGGCCTGCTGATTCTGACGTTTAGTGGGACAGAGATTCACTTCACTATAATTCACCATGCAGAGCCATCTAAGAGGAACTAATGGTATCAAAATATGAATTGTGCATCCCTATAACTGAGAACATAATCTGGAGTCAAACGCGAAACATTTTTTTGCGGACTGTTGACTTGTTTTTTTTAGTTCTCGGACCATAATTTGGCGTAAATTCTCATCGTGCGACATTCGCCTTAGTCAATTTCCAGAGAAACTATTGTTTTTGGTCAAAGCTTGCTACTTCGGTCTTTAAAACTTCGGCTTACAGAGATAATGAAAGTTCTTTCAACTTTTTCTTAGCAATGTTAAATAACTAACTAACTAACTTATAGATTTTGATAAATAACTTAATAGTAGTTTAAACTTTGACTTAGATCATCTCATCCTTCCAGACAAAGCCCGAAACACCAGAACGCAAAACAGCACTTATCCAGCCCCAAATCCAGCAGTCATCACTTCAACAGCCTCAAATTCAGAATTCGCAAAGCCATAGCGTTAACCAAACAACTAGTTCGCAAACCACGTGGCAAACTCTCACTTCACCAGTATCAACAGTTGCAGACTATCTGTCACATCTGCCGGCTTCCACGTTGCCACTGAGTCTACATCACTTCCTCAAATACTCTGCAGAAAACGTGAAGAAGGAGAATGTCATACAGCAGCCCACTGTTCAGAGGTGAGTACGTTGTACCTAGTCATAAAAACTGCTATTTTACCTACCAGACTATAGGTGTATAATAGTTATTTATTATATAAGGGAAAAAAGTACTAGATTTTAGCTTCAGGTTGTATTGTCTCTCGACGCTAAAATCTAGTATTTTTCCCGTGTATAATACACAATTTTTTTTCTGTGACGAGAAAAACGACGATTTAATATTGAAAAAATATATTATTACATATTTAAGTCAGTAAAATAATCGATGTGAAATTTGAATTTTGAAATTAGTAGGGTATGTTGTACTTATAGCGACAGTTAGACCTGCGTTGCTAAGGAAACTTTTAAAGTAATCAAATAGCGGTCAATTCAATTTTGTGATTTGATTTAAAAATTGTGAATTTAGTGGTTGTTTAGAAGTTATTTTTAATACTACAAAGTAAAAAATGTCTGATTCCAAGTTTTCTTTGACTCCACCTGGATTTAACCAAAGTAGAGTCACAAAATTATTGACACCTAAATCGCGGAAAATTTACGAAAGCGCGTATTCAAGTTTCATGGAATGGAAGATGAAAAAACATTCAGTTCTTTGTCGGAGACGACATTAATAATAATAATAAACGGCTTTATTGGCGGAGTTTAGCACAGCTATTCTTACACTCAACCTTTCTAAAGACTAAAGCTTGATGCTAATTTGACATACAGATATGTTATTTTACTTTGAAGTTGAGTCATTAATTTTCAGATAATGATTGTAGAAGGAAGTTAAACCAAAATATGTGTGTAAAAATAAAAAAAAAATAAAAGAAATGTTACCTTGTTTTATAAAGTATCCTCCCGACAAGTATTTCAGTGCGGACCTGTATTTGATCGTGCGGTCTTGGAGCACCGGCATGCCCTCCCCTGTGAGGTCTTAAGTCACCTGATTCACGAGCCCTTTGTACTACATTAACAAAGGCACGAGGGGTTGGTTGCACTCGATTGGAAAACCGATCCGCATAAATCCGTGATGCCGCGGCAGCATTTTGTACTGTTCGTAAGTCAGTGTTGATTAAATCATTTGCCTGTACCACAAGAGATGGTTCAAAATGAAACAGAAGCTGCGTGTCATCAGCATAAGATTAAATGTGTGAGTACTGTACGGATTTCCAGATATCAGGTGTGTATACAATAAATAACAACGGTCCTTAAACAGAACCTTGAGAAACTCCTGATGTTATTGTTGTTATCTCAGATCTTTTGTTATGTAGAATAATGCTTTGCTTACGAAGACTTAAGTCATTGCAAAGTAAGTTCAACGCTGTATGGTCAAGGCCATAATGTTGAAGTTTAGCGCACATAAATGAATGGTCAATGGTGTCAAAGGATTTTGAAAAATCCAAGGGTATAAGTAGAGTGGCCAGCCTCTTATCTAGCGACCGTATAATTTCATCATTAAGATTTAAAAGAGCAGTGGTTGTATTATTATTAGAAATCAAAATTGACTTGTCCGAGCGTTTTTCCCAAAATATACCAGGAGCCTCACAAATGGGGGTGCGACCTTTTCGTTGGACCAGTCTGTATATTTGTCTAGCCAGGCACATTACACATATTTCCGAAATTAGCGGGTGTGTTCTTCTACTTGTCATGGCAACGATAGTCAGACTGGAAAGGTGTTCTCAACCCAGAATTTAGGCTCCACCACCCCTTTTTATTTTGCGTTATTACTTACAGAAATATACCACAAAATTCACCAGAAAGCAATGGAAACATACTCTCGAATAATATCAACGGGGTAGGCAACAACAACAATTTGAACTCGAATCTTAGTAATTTGGGTAACAGTACCATGAATTTAAGCACTTTGACCACGATAAATACTGCACAGCTGCAGAATGGAGCTACTCCGCCAAAGAAAAAGAAAAAGAAGAAACCTGAGAAGGAAAAGAAGCCCAGACCAAAGCCAGGTAAATTCCATTATGTGTAAAAAATGACCAAACACTTTTTTCAGAATCGAAAGATTCTGAATCAGACTTTTCGTAATTGAACAATGATAATGATAATTGTTTCTCTTTTTCTTTTGAAATCGATCATGTTATCCTAGTTAAAAAAAGGACCTTATACATGCCACTTTATAGTTATAGGGTTTATTTTTCTTAGTTTAGATAATTACTACCGTCATAAGGTGGTTCTAGATTTTCTCCAACATTCTTTGACTCAAATGCCATAATTTGTAATTTTCTTCAAAATAGTCTTTTTTAGTCCTTTTCATTAATGATGTACTGGTTGCAATGCAGTTGGTCCACTGAAGCATTTTTATACAAAATGTCTATATCGGATGCTCCAATTTTTTGACGTCTTGTAAAATTTTTATTTTACAAAAACTGACTTTGAGGATAATTGTAAATTCAAGTTATGAGTGCAGAAAACACTTCAAATATCTACAAATCTAAAAAAAAACTACCACTAACACCTATTTATATTTTTATGAGCACAAACATCTAGACAAATATGAAACCTCTGCAGAAATACTCGCCCATGTACTATGTAATATTAATTATCTATACTCGCGACTGAATATGACTAAAGATAATTGACCTCATATTAGTTTATATAATTTATTCCTCAATGCAAATAGAGGACACAAGACAATATGTCTAATCGCTGATTTTCAAAGATTCCTAAAAAAGACATTGCTTAAACTCTGTTGCTATTCAATTGTCGGATAGAACTCGAATTATAGATTTTATGATAGTTTGTATGACCTCACACGTACATTGTATATAATTTGCTATGGTATGTTATAGCAAGCTGCGGGAATGGAACATTGTAGAAACACCCGATTTGAAAAGCCTCTTAATTTGATGAATTTCTTTAGGAGAAATACGTCTAACCACTGCCCTGGACGGCTCAACTCTCTATTGCTGTCCAGAATGTCACATGGCTTATCCAGAGAAAGAGCTTCTGGAACAACACCTGGTGGGCCATACGCTGGAGAGAAGGTTCGTCTGTGACATTTGTGGTGCTGGATTGAAGCGAAAAGATCATCTTACGAGGCATAAGCAGTCTCACAATCCGGAGAGGCCTTATGTCTGTACTGTTTGTTTGAAGGCATTTAAGAGAAAGGTAAGTTTCACTATGTTTCAGAAGAAACATTGAGGCGTCCAGCCGGCGTTCCGGGCCGTGACAGCGAAAAGAGACAGCGACGTTAAACTAAATTCATTTTCGAGGAATAAGACACTATGCCAGAATAGTTAGAGCCGGTTTCAGTGCTTAAGCGGACGATGTCAGTGTTAAAAGTAGACTGTCACAGGTAATATTTCCTCGAACTATCATAGATGTTTGCTCAAACTATATGTGTGTGTGTAGACGACTGTAGTGACTGTGATAGTGTTATTTTTGTTACCAGGGTTTGAAGCCGCAGTAATAATCGTTTTGACTGACTCAACATAGCTTTAGACGGCGACGTGCGACTGAGGTCATGCTTGGCCAGTGCTTTTAGGCAACTTTGCCGAGTTTGCTGTTTAGCATCAAAATACGTAAGGTTTGACTAGTTTTTATCGCATCATATCAGAAGGCAATGATGTCTGCTCTTAGACTATTGCTGGTACAAATAAACGGGGATCTGCGTCGTTGGTTTGGCGGTTCGTTAATAGATGACCCGGCGTCTACCGATGCCAAACTGACATATAATGTTTAGAATACGCTACATGTATATTGAGCTGAATGGAGTTGAGTTGAGTTCCTTTCGTGGTTTTTGGTGGTTACGTCAAAAAGTCATAGGAAATAAAGAGAAAACGTAAAAATTTTTTGGAAATTTGTTAATAGCCGTAAGGATTATCATTACATACCTTCAGAAGTACATTATAATAATGTCAGTAGTTCTTCTGTTTTACAAATCACCAATTGGTTTGCAGATTACTTCTCTAAAACTTACAGTGCAGAGAATAGTACTGTTCATAATAGTAATCTTTCTTATGGGGCCATCAATTTGTTTAATTATGAAATTCCAATCTCAGCCATCTATGAAAAACTGTCCAAATTAGACGTTAATAAAGGACCTGGACCTGATGGTGTACTTCCGTTATTGATTAAACATTGTAGCTTTCTGATTTCTAGACCTCTATTTTATATTTTTAGTCTTTCGTTAAAAAGTGTAACTTTTCCGGAATGTTGGAAAACAAGCTTCATTACTCCAATACTGAAATCTGGAGATCCTTTACTAGTCAAAAATTATCGACCTATCAGTTAACTGAGTTGCATTGGAATGGTATTTGAGAGGCTAGTGTGTGAATTTTTACCCGAAAACTTGCAAAGTAGTTTTATAAGCCAAAACGCTCCACAGAGTTAAATCTTTTAACAGTCACAAACTATGTTTTGGAATCCTTGGAGGAAGGGTATTCTGTTCACGTAGTGTATACAGCTTTTTCTAAAGCATTCGATAAGGTCAAACAAGAGATCTTGATTAATAAGTTACACTGTCTAGGAATTTGCGGGGATCTTTTATCATGGCTGAAGTCTTACTTCACTGACCGAAAACAAATAGTGCGTATACAAAGCTTTCAATCAAATGAGATTAATGTGCCATCTAGAGTACCTCAAGGTTCCCATTTGGGTCCTCTCATTTTCAATATATACGTGAATGATATTATATACTGTTTTAAGTCTGTTAGTTTTGTAATGTTTGCAGACGATATGAAATTATTCTTAAAAATCAGATATAATAATGAGTGTTTAAATATCCAAAATGATTTGAATTCATTAAGTCTCTGGTGTCAAATGAATAGAATGGAACTTAATGTGGAAAAATGTCATTTAATGATCTTCAGCCGTAACAGGGACCTCCCTGATCATACTTATACCATGAAAGGTTGTCCTCTAAAGAGTGTATCCCAAGTTAGGGATTTAGGGGTAATTCTTGACCCAAAATTATCCTTTATTACCCATATAAATATGACTGTTTCTAAATCTCTTCAACTGTTGGGATTTATAAAACGATGTGCTACGGATTTTCATAATATTCAATCATTTAAAACGTTGTTTTGTTCTTTATTGGGGCCCCAAACAAAACATTATGGTTGAAGATATTATCTATTCCGTCATTGAAAGCTCTCACAATATCTCAACCCTTCAGGTAAGACGGAATCAGAGGGACCTGTCACTATTTTATATTGTGCACTCTCTTAGGTTTGCTCCAGAACCTTTGAAAAATATTAATCTCCATGTGCCTTCTCGTCAAACAAGACTGAATCAACCATTCCATCTGAGATCATTTCGTAGTAATTATGCTAGTAATTCCTTCCTGTCTAGATCTTCAAGGTTAGCAAATCAGTATTCTAAAAAGTTGGATTTCTTCAGAAGTCAGAAAATATTCAAAATTCGATTAGATTCCTGTCTAATATTTAATTTTTGATTTCCCCATATATTTAAATTTTAATTAAATTCGTTTCAATTTAGAAAAGATCTGGATTGTAAAGTGTTTGTGATTGTTTTATAAGTGTTAAATATCTAAGTCAAAGTAGGGTTAGGTTTACATTAGATTTTCTATGATGTACTTTAATTGGGCAGTCGCTCGATGATAAATAAATAAATAAATAAACATATCGTCTTAAGGCCAGGCGGTCTAGACAACTGGCAACCATGTCAAATACACCGACGATTGGTCAAATAAGCAATTTGAGGATAGAGAAAAGTTAAATTTCAAGCTGACGTTCCTCTTTTGTTACGAAAGCAATATTCCGCGTAAAGCCCAGAATCTAAATAGCTATGATAACTACAGGTTTTAAGAACAATTTCTGTTTACATGACTCTGAGAACAGCAACAGTGTGATTTATAATTTTATTGAATGAAAAATATATTTTGCAGGCTGCAAAATAAATATCCCCACTATGAGTAAATTTCCAAATATAAGTAAATTTGAACGAAAAATGCTTTCGCGAGAAGTGATGGTGATTAAAATCATCCAAAAAGGATTATCTATCTGACAACACGGCAAATAAAAACAGGAGGGTTTAGATGCCATCAGCTGTTTTGTGGCCACTATGTTTTGGGTTACATCTCGTATCTCTAATCTGCCAGCCTTGTCTGTCTTCTCTTGCTGTAACTACATTTTTATAGAACAGTGGGATTCGATGTTGACATCTGATTTGTTAAGAATCCCCTTATATTTGAGACAAGTCTAATTTAGGATGGCATTATAATCAAAATTTCCATTTCAACGAGCACGTGGGAAAGTTGTGTGATATTTGATTTGTATTGCTTCAGGAACAACTCACTTTACACTTTGTGATACATTCTGGCGAAAAAAGACATGTCTGCACCGAATGTGGTAAAGGTTTCTACAGAAAGGACCATCTGAGAAAGCATACAAGATCACATATTGCGAGGAGAGTCAAAGCGGAGCTATCTCAGCAAGGTAAGCAACCATAGGTAGAAAAAATTTCGTATTTACATTGTTGAATATAACGGTCGGCAGGGCTATTGTTATTACGTAAAAAACATGTAAAACGTAAAAAAAGACAAAACGTCAACTTGCTGCCTAGGTAGTTCCTAATGTGCAAATAGTACATCCCGCGTATGCTCGCTATGAGCGCATCAAAAGCATCTATATCTAAGAAGTAATGAGTCATTGACACGACACGCTCAATGACCATGCTGTAAGCTGTAAGTCAGTTCCCCATTTTTTGTATATTTGAATTGATTTTATGAAGTGTATTGTGTATTGAACGATCTGGACATACATATTGAAAACGACACTCGGAATCAAAACATTTTTAGGTGATATATCTGTGCACGCGCTGGCTATATTTGGTAAAAGAGACCAGATTAAATAGTTGTTGCGTCCAACAAAATGTATCATCAGTTCACAGTTGCTACCCGCAGGCTGAAAATCAACCAGATTAAATTTCAACTTTGTCCAATCTCCAAAGCAAAAGTTATAAGATGGATGGGACCTAGGGCCATCTTGGCGTTCGTAAAGGTCGTTCTACTTTGGTAGAGGCGTAAACGGTACCCTTAATATGTAACTTCAAAATGACACGGGTAGCGATCTGATCGCCATAATTGTCACTTTGGAACTAGTTAACATTCACTTCCATGTTCACTTGTAGTAGTTGTGTGTGGTGCCTAAACGTCAAGATACTTGAGCTGTGTACTGTAACTCTGGTTTAGAGATGACACTAGCGGACGCCAACGGCACACTTCTGGTGGTGGCTGGTATCCCGCCAATTGATTTGCTGGCAGAGGAGAGAAAGGCCGATAGGTCAATATTGTCGAACCTGAGAGTGGTTATAAAAGCTTTACCCTGTCTAAAAACAAAAAAGCGGAGGCAATTCATAGTTTCTCTAACCTAAGCTGTAAGTCGTTGCACTATTTCTCCATAGGTGGCGTTCCCAGCTATGACGCGTGGCATGGGCCAGCGACTAGCTAGTACACAAGTGACAAGTATGGCGACCAGATCGCTGTCATAGGGATTATTTTATATATGTAAATGCATTATAATTTTTCAATTGTTTTCATAGGTGGTAACACGCAGTCTCTGCAACTCCATGTTCCTTCTGCATCGAACCCAAGCACGACAGGTATAATGTCCTAAATTCAGCATTTCTTTCAAGCAGTTTTACTTTATAAATTCTGGTACTCAACGGAATCGGTGTGGTATTTGGCTGTGATTCAATTTGTTCCATGACAATGTTAGGCTAGTTCCGGTAGATATAATCTACCGTTAAAAATACAGTGTGATGATTAGAACTTGGATGCATTTTTGGTACAGGGTTGTGCTGAAATATTGTGATATTTTTCTACGGATATTAAGCGGTACTTACGGATAGTTGTGATGGTCCAGTGACTGTAGTTAGGCAAGAAAAAGTTGATCAATCATTTTCAACCGAATTTTTTTCTACGATTGAACTAGAATTGCCTAAAAATAAATATAAAATAAATTTATTTATCTGTATAAATTGAATTTCAATAAGTTTTTTGCTATACGAAACCTCGGATTATTGCTGATATTTTGACTGGGTTGCTGGACCGACTGGGTTAGACTGAATGGCACAATTGTCCCAAAAATGCGACCAAGTTACAAAAAAAATCGGATTCTAAAATTTTGTGGTGGGTACTAGAATTTCAGTACACAGAGTATCATTTTTCTTCTAGTCATTTTGAAGCTACCTCAGCAGTTTTCATTGTGATATACATATATATACATTTAGCAGTTGCTCTGTGCACTTACACATTTTATTTCCGGTAAAAAATTATTGAATTGGAAAAAGAGTACAAAGGTAGTATTCCATTTGTTTCCTTTTATTTTTGAGTTTAATGTTTTTGTTTTACAATAGTTTTGTTTTACTTAGTAGTTGTTACTTTAACGTTCCCGCTGTTACAGCATCATATACTACTTTTTAAGTGCAAAGAAGTTATAGTTACTTATAATAAGTTTGGTTCCAATCTACTCTAATACATTCAAATACAAATAATATAAATGATAAGCAATGACGAAGTCTGCCATATATTGATGTAAAATTTCTTTTGCAAAATGATTAGGCTTATAGAATAAAAATCTTCACATGAATTTCTACGATTTGGCACATATTATAGCGTGGCACAAAAGTCCCGGAACGGCTCTGTATTTTTTCGGGTAAGATATTTTCTGAAAATACCAAGTTTAGATCTTCAGTAACTTTCAGCGACGAATTCAACTGTGACCTTGAATTGGACCTTGACCTTCAAGCTTAATTCATGGCCAACTTTATTTTTCTAATATAAATCCCTATTTTTGTTGCCGGCAATCAAAAATACAGAAATTTTTACATTGAAACACAATCAAAGTCCAAGGACTACTAAAGGTCAAATGAAGATCAAATGTGTGCTGCTAGGAACCCCTCTATAAATCTCACAGGATGAGTGATGAAAATAAGTATCGAAAGTCAGGTTTTTGGTAAATTTTATCGAGGAAGTGAACCTTGTATTTGACCTTGATTTTCACCTTCAAGATATTTCAAAGTGCACGTTATTTTTTTTAATGAAATCCCTATTTTTGATGCCAGCAACCGAAAGAACGGAAAATTTTACGTTTAAATAAGAATTGAAGTCCAAGGTCAGGGTGTGATCTAAAGGTCAAATATGTGCTGCTAGGAAAACATCTATAAATCTCACAGGATTAGTAATGAAAATCAAGGTGGAGACTTTGGTAAATTTTAACGAGGGAGTGAACGATGATCTTGGATTTGACCTTGATCCTCACTTTCAAGGTCATTTCAAGGTCAACTTGAATTTTTTAATAGAAATTTCCATTGTTGATGCCGGCAATCGTAAATTTTGCGTTCAAATACGAATTGAAGGCCAAGGTTATGATGACCACTAAAGGCCAAATGGAGGTTAAATGTGTGCTGCTAGAAAACCCACTATAAATCTCATGATCAGTGATGTTCATAACTATCAAGGTCAGTTCCTTAGTAAATTTTGACGACTGATCCTGGATTTGAACCTTAACCGCACCTTCAAGGTCATTTCAATGTTATTTTATTCAAATAAAAACGCGCTGGAACAGTATCGGTTAAAAATTATTTGTTACGAGCACCGTAATTCCCCCGCTAAAACTTACCCAAAGTCAAGTTGATTTTTTTGATGCCGGCAATCGGAAGAGCGGGAAATTTTACATTCGAATATGCATTAAAAATCAAGATCCAGGTGACCTCTGCAGGTCAAATAGGTTAAATAAAGGTCAAATATGTGTTAGCTAGGTAAAAATCTAGAAATCTCACAGATATCGCAACGAAAATAACTGGTTAGGCCAGGTCTCTAGTAAATTTTCACAAGTAGATGTTATCTTGGATTTGACATTTAAAGTCATTTCAAGATCAAGTCTATTTTTCCAAATAGAAACGCTTATTTGATTCCAACAATCTAGAGAGCCGGAAATTTTATGTACAAATGTGTATGAGAACTCAAGGCCAAGGTGACCACTAGAGCATAAAGGCCAGATGTGAGCTGCTAGGGAAACTCACACGAATAGTGACGGAAATAACTGTCAAGATCAGATCTTTGGATAAGTTTTAACGAGAGAACTACGAACTACGGTGCTCGTTACAAATGGTTTTTAACCGATACTGTCTGCGGGTTTCTATTTGAAAAAAAAGATCTTGAAGGTGAATTTCAAGGTCAAATCCAAGATCACTGGTAAAAATTTACTACAGACCTGACCTTGATAGTTATTTTGAACGTAAAAATTTATGTTCTTTCGATTGCCGGTATCAAAAATAGGGGTTTCTATTTGAAAAAGTAAAGTTGACCGTAAACTAACCTTGAAGGTTAAGGTCAAATTCAATGTCACCTTTGAATTCCTTGCTGAAAGTTACTAAAAACCTGACGTTGATCTGTTCCAAAAATATCTTACCCAAGAAAACACAGAGCCGTTCCGGGACTTTTGTGTCACGCTTGTATATTTGAATATTCAGATTGGTAAAATATGAAACAAACATTTTTTCGCGTATGTAATATTACTATAGTTGTATCTTTTGCGTGTAAGAATTGTGTACGTGTTTTATATGTCTTCATTTGGTAATAGTACCTAAACACAGACTATTTTTTGAAGAGTTTTGTAAGAAGATCTATTTATTGGCTACATCTTTTATTTCTCACACAGTCAGGGCCTGCTACAGGTGGTGAGAAAGTGAGACAGTCGCCTCATGGTGTAGTATTATAGAGTGCGAAAAATTATCTTTAGAGTGGGGAACATATTTTATTCTTTGTGTTTGAAACGCTGAAGCCGGCCCTGCACACAGTAGCAAAAAATTAAATGAGTATTGGTACACTTTATAATTTATGTTTTTATACAGGGTGTCCGCAAAGTTGGGGTTTTCCTTTTCAGAAACAACTACCCTTGAAATAACAAAGGTAATGTGTAGTGAAACGAGGGCGACCAAGTAAAAAAAAATAAAGGAAAAAGTACTCACTCTCCAGTTGACGAGAAGGGCTAAGTACGTCTCTGCCCGAAATCATACCGCTCCAACAGAAAATGAAATCAGCTGATGCGCTAAAGAGCAGACGCCGGCGGTGGTGCAGACCACGAACAGAGGTAAACAAATATGACGGCGTTTTCTGCGTTTTCAGTTTTTAGGTAAACGTACTTTATAGGTATTGTTCGAAGTTATCGCCGTTTGATTCAAAACACAGGAGCGTGCACGACGTAGCCAAGCATCGGTGCAGGCTTTGAGAATGGAGTCCCTCCCCCGAATGAAAGCACCAGCTTGTTCAATTCTGAGACGAAGTTCGCCACCGTATGCACTTCAGTTTTGTACACTAAGCGTTTCATTTCTCCCCAAAGAAAAAAATCACATAGTGTTTAAGTCTGGAGATCGCGGAGGCCACGCTACGTCCCGTCCAATCGATTTGGGAGAATAAATGGTCCAATGAGCATACCGTTCACCATGCCAGCCCAAACATTCACCGAAAATGTTTGTTGAAAATGTGCCCGACGGACAGCGTGCGGATTTCTACTGACCAAACATGAGTGTTGCGAAAGTTATTCACCCCATTACGCGTGAACGTAGATTCGTCTGTCACCAATATGCACTTCAAAAAGTCCGGATTATTGTCATGTTTGATGCAACAACCACTCACAAAACCGCACTCTTGCTGGAAAATCGTTCAGGTTGAAGGGCTTGCCACGTCTCTAGTGCTTGTTGAGGGATTCTCGTATACGCGATTACCTCTACAGGCGTGACCGTCGGTTTGAAGGTTGCATACTGACCTGACACACTGACCCCGACCCAGTTCTGTCGTCGGGTTGAGATAGTGTCCTAGTACCACTCGGGGATGTCGCGGAACGCGGCTACAGGACGGTATTCAGATATTTTTGATGTTTCAGAGCCCTTTATC